AATGAAATTACATGATACAGCTGTGTAGGCTAAAAGTGCATGTGCCAAATTAGTAATAGAAAAGACCCATCTGGTTTTATAGAAAGAATCTTTTAGAGAGAGAATGACATGCTGCACCATTTTAATAGTAACTTGTAAGCTTTTGGAGAAGTTTATGAAAAAGATATGATTTTCGAGAGAAGATGGCATCCTCCATTTTAACAACATGAGCATTTGGAGAAGCTTATTAATAAGTTCTGAAATGCTTACACCCTCAACCTAACACCTTTTACCANTCTCAATTGCTTCTATCATGCGTCCTGCTATCTTGACCGTTCATTGAAACAATAGCCTGCATCTGAATTACCAGATCATTTCATCCATGCAATTAGGCATTCATCCCACAACACAACATCAATCTTCACAACAAATCACATTCTTCCATAACGAGTCCTCATTTGCCAAGTAACAGAATCCATCTACGATACCACAGAACCCCACAAGACTAAGTTCGAATCACGGCACAACTCAACAATTCAAGTGCTCGAAATACACAAGTGCAATCTAAAACAGAATCACCAAAAATAAAAACGAAAATCATATAATAAATCCACATTTCAAACCAACGGATGTAAAGAAAAACGAAAGTTACTAGCAGAGTCAAAAGTTCTCCAAAATCCCACAACACACAGAGTCCGTTTTCGGAGGAGGGCCGCTCGTCGGGCCTCGATCCTCTGGCGGAGAAAGGTCCGTTTTTCGGCACGAGTCCATTGGACGATCTCCTTGCAGAGGGAGATTTGGAGGTCGGATGTGCCGGGGATTTTGGCCACGGCATCGATTATGACGCGGACGATCTTGGCCGTCTTGGCCTTGGGGATGAGGGAGAAGAAAGGCCGGAGCTTGGTCAGGAGGCTCTGGAGGTCGTGGGCCCGGCCATCCTTCCTGAGGAGGTCTGCAAGGTTGTTGATGGCTTGTTCTTTGATGCGCAGGGCCTCGGGGGAGGATGATGGGTCCTCGAGCACGC